CCAATGCTGATGCGGAGGGTGGGAGGGCAACTGACCAAAGGCAAGTCCATATATTAAAAGGCTCTGAAAGGTGTTGATGCTGGGCCAACAGGGAGACACATGGATGGACTGAGAACACAGGCCCAACACAGCTGCCTACGGGGAACCTCCAGTGGGAAGGAGCTGTATGACAGGAAGTCCACACGCAGGGCCACGCCCAGGGATCATGGTGCCCATCTCTGGGGCAGCCCAGGGCTGTGTGTGGTTCAGAGCATGAGCTTTGGAGTGTGAACCCACGAGCTCCAGTCCTGCCTCTGTCGCTCACTAGCTCTGTGGTTTGGGAAAAGTGATTTAAGCCCCTCCATGATTCTGCTCCCTCATCTGTGACAAGAGTGCAATAAAAATGCAGACTGTCATAAAGGTGACTGGGAATTTGAGGAAATAATTCATGTAAAGTGCTTACCACAAATAAAGGCATAATAAGTTATTATTATTATACCAATTCAGTCTTAAATGCTTTTATTCCCTCTTTTCTCTCTCTCTCATATACAAAGTACCTACAATATAATATAAAATTCAGATAGCATCTAATTTTAATAAGATAGCATAAAGGTCAGGTGCCTATTGAGAAACAGGAGAATGAAAAGAGAGTTAAGAAATCACAAACAAATATTGTTTTAAGAATCTGAGCAATTTACTTATCCTTGAAAAGCTATAAAGCCTGTGTAGACATGAGGAATCTGATGATGAAGATAATGAGTAAGTAGATGCTAGAATTTGCTACGAGGAGATAAATGCTATGGGAAAAAACTCATGATAAGATTAGGACTGTCTGCTGGTAGGAGGGGGAGGGTGCATTTGAGACAGTGGCCAGAAGGGCATCATTGAAAAGGCGATTTTAAGCGATGCTCTGAAGCAAGTGAGGCCGTCAGTCATGGGAGTACCGGGGACGAGCTGCCCATGCAGAAGGAACCGCTCATGCAAAGGCCTCAGGGTGGCGCATGTGTGGCGAGAATGAGGAGCCCCTGCAGGAATCTTTGTCAGCAAGGAAAGGTGGGTGATGTCTGGTGGTGCTCCCCAATCTCAGCACACCCGCCTGCAGATGACAGTGGGAAAACTGACAGCAGCCAAATAGTCTGGGGCCTGAAAAATCAGAGATGATTAGGAACTAAGAATGGCAGGAACAGTGTTTCAGTATTTATGCATGGCTCTGCTGTGCTCAGCACTTTTACCAATTACTTAAAGACACTGAGGGCATGGCTCGTCAACTTTACAGTTCTCTACAATGTACCTACCTGCTCACCGGAATCAAGCTTCAAAACTAGCCCAAAAGGACTGGCCAAAACGGATGCTGTAACACTTCACAGGTATGAATTGTTTGGGGGAAAAGCCTTTGGAAAGCCCTTTCTTAGCGCAGCTAGAACTGAGTCCAATTTGAAAATAGAGTTCATGGCCCAAAGGATGAGCTACCACAAGAGTCAATAACAGGAGTTAATTACTTAAAGCAGAAACGGAGCATGAAGGTGACGCTGCATTAAGGGCGCACGGAAGCCGCTGGGCGTGAGGAACAGGTGCCCGGTGAGGGCTGGAGACAGGACAGCATGCTGGGTGCAGGGTTCCCCGGGGCAGGACAGAGTGTGCTCACAGGACGGGGCTTTGCCTAGAGGGGATTCAACAGCAAAACCGTGTGAGGATGAAGGGACAATGGCCATCCGCTTTAAAGGAAGCAGCTGCTTCTACGACCCTCTGCCATCTGAAGAACAGGAACTGGAAGCCAGTGTGTTCCGTGTGGCTTCAGAGACCAAAACGGAACCAAGGGACGGAATGACAAAGAGCAGGACTCGGCTCAGTCCATGAAAGATCAATGAAAACTCGGAACTGTTCTAAAATGGGACAGGCTGATTCACACTGTCCTCCACGGCCTTACTACGTTCCTGGCCACCACGCCAAGCATTTAAAATGCATTATCGCTGCACATTATACATTTAAATACATTAAATACACTATCGCACTGCAATCGCCACAACAGCTCCCTGGGTGGTACAGCTTACCGCAGTACTGGGGCACTATTTTTAAACATCGAAACTCCACTTCTGAGTTACTGCTGTTCTGTCGTTCCAGCCACAAATCACAGTTCAGTTCTCCCGCCTGGGCTTCCCTCCGGCCCCTCCCCCACGCCCTCCCCAACCCTGCCCGCGCCCCCCACAGGGCGCTGCCCACGACCTGGGAGGGGGAGCCGTCTGCAGCGGGTGGGTCGCCCCGCCGGGGCGGGGGAAGAGCGAGGCACAGCCATCCTGCTCACGCCGGCAGTGAGAAGCCAAAACCCTGGTCACTTGGTCCAGCAGTTCCTCCGAGGGGCTCCGTGAGGCAGGAGGGTGCGAGAGAGCAGCGACCCCACGGCGCCCCCTGGGGAGGGGCTGAGGGAAGAGACGGTCGGAGCCGGGAGCACCAAAGGGACTGCCACACGGTGGGAGGTGACTTTATACTGGAAACGTTCGCTTCACTGACTTTCTAATCTTATGAATTCCGAAAGCTTTTTTTTTTAAAGTCAGTAAAAACATTAAGCTCCCTTATCTCAATCAGTATGGCAGGAGGCATAATTAATCCTGTGTCACAGGTAAGAAATGTAGATGGCCTGTTCTAGCGCCAGGCTGGCTCCCATCCTGGTTTCAGAAGGGGACCCGCCAGTCCTTCTCTGCCAGCACTTCGGTGACTTCCTCAGCCCCTTCCACGCAGAAGAGGCCAGCTTTCTGCTTTCCTACCAGTATGTGGGTGATCATAGGGGCTCTGTCAGGTGGACACTTGAGGACTCTTCTGAGCACTCTTTTGGATACCATTTTCATTGGGGTGCATGGACAACGAAAGTGCTCCGTTCTCAGGGCCCCAGAGACCACGGTGCCCAGGGTTCAGGGTTCTAGAGGGATCTGCTCACTCAGTAATCTGACCTCGGTGGCAACAACCCATTACCCCATCACATTCGTTCCAAACTTTTACCCAACTGCGTCGGCTTGCCCAGAATACACCAAAGACACCTGGCCATTGCAAATATCATAAATAAGAATGCAACTTGGAATTAAATATCCATCTCTTACAACATTCCCAGACTATGCCAGTGGAAAAGAAAAGCTTCCAAAAAGCGAATGCAGAAAGACACAAGTTATGGTGCTTTCTGCCCTTCCTCTTCCTAGCGCTCAGCCCACGGGGTGACATGCGAGCACCCTCTCTCACGCAGCCCGCAGCACACTCTGGGTTTTCCAGAGAAGCAAACCTCTGCCAGCACTGACTAATCTTCTGACCCCAGTCCTCAGACACCCACTAGGAGATGCCGGTACCCACCTGGAAACTCACCACACCCCCACATCTGGGAAGAGAGAGGCACGGGGGGGGGGGGGGCGCTGCAGAGGTCACCAACCGCTTCCGCTTCCTCAGAGGCCAGAGCTGCTTCCCAAGAGCACAGCCCCCCATCCCGCCCCCCTGCCCTTGCCCTAGCAGACCCCTGTGGCTTAGAAATTCAAGAAGGAGGGAACTGGTTCACACAACCTAGGCCACTGTTTTCTCCAACATGAAAATGAAATCTTTAAAACTAAACTTTCTAAATTGATACAAATTGAAATAACTCAATTCACTGAAACAAATTTTTTTTTTAATCTCACTGAATTTATGAGCCCAGACTTTCTAGTGCTGCTTTACACTGCTCCTGCTGGAGAACAACAGTACAGGAAGCTTAACATTGATGCTTCATTCTCAATAAAGGTAACCAAAATAACGTTATCACCTTACGTCTGACATTAACTTTACGTTATCAAAGTACTTTCACATTTATAATTTAATGTAATTCCATGAGATAGGAAGAGTCAACATTACTATAACTGTTTTACGACTAAAGGGACTAAGTGTATGTGAAGTTATGTGATTTATGTCACAAAGCTAGCTGAAGCCAGATCAGGCTCTTGTTTAATTTGGCAGCGGACTCACTTTTTAAATTAAATATTAAGGAGAATTTTGTGAAAGGAGGGAAAGGGTGAGGCAGAAGAGAGATAGAGAGAGAGAAGAAACAAGAAACTGGGGTGGAGGGTGAGGACAGTGACGGGGGAGGAGGACTGTGGGGAGGAGCCTTCCAACGCCGCCTCCTCCCCCAAGGCAAGTGCATGGAACCCAGCCTGAAGACTCTAGGATTAGCCTGTGCTGCTTCCTAAGAGATACACAAAAGTGTGTCAAGGGACGAGAGTGAATCCACACTACAATCAATTTGAGGAACTCAAGAAACCTTTTGAGGTCTACTTTTTGCTTTGCTTTTTTAAGGAAAAAAAAAGTTTTCTAATTAAAAAACATTAATGAGAATAAACATTTATTGTTGAAAGTCTGTGATATCACTGTGCAGAAAAAAAAAATTAATTTTAGAAGAACTACATTTAAACTCATTTTTTACAATACAACTCAACATAAGAAGGCCTAAAGACAGACTTCAGCATATTCTGTATTTCTTTAGGGGCACAAGAAGGATGAACAGACACAAGATAGTCCTCCTGTGACACCAGACTGAGTGACAGCAACTAACCACACACTGAGCGTTACAAGTGTGACCAGAGCACTAGGATCGGGGGTATCTCTAAAACCACACATACTAAGGTAGTATGTAAGCCTACACTTAGACTGAAGAGAAGGAACAGAGACAAGCTTGGGGACACAGTGGGAAGGGAAGGAGGGAAGTGGGGGACATCAGGCAGAGAGCCCCTCAACATACCCATGGGCAGGGTGGTGAGTGATCACAAAAGCTCAGCAGAGGCACCATTTTTAACACAAGGTGTTTGTTACAAACTGCTGAGTCCTGTTTATAGGTTCCCCTAGAATTTGAGGATATAGTTCCAGGCATTGTCATTTGAGCTTCTTACCCAGGGAACCTTAAAATCGGGGGGTAATTCTGACTTGAAATCTCATTTCAGCTCTTCTTCCACCAAATGTACTTTTGTTCTGGGTAAAACGCCGGAACCTAGCAGTGTTACTTCAGGGGTGGGCCTTACCTTCATATCTGCTGGGGGAATCGCATGCTTTCTGTGGGGTTGCCACTCGGAGGAATATCTGCTGCCTCCATGAGTGTCTTCGTGTCTTTATGGGGGTCCCACTGGCATCACCGAGATGGTTGGCTTTGGATTCAAAGTCCCTAAAATAACAAGAGAATTGATTTACGACTTGTGGGAGATATAAACAGGTATTTTAGCTTGACTTTTTGTTTTTTTAAACAAAACGCTGTATTATCAATTATCTTTGTGTAAGAAAACAGATAATCACAGAAGTTAAATCAGGCCCACAGTGGGCCAATAATCCTAAAGCATTGCTTTCTTACTGGACACTTCTCATGAAAAGATATTACATGCCCTCAATTTATTTCTATTCTAAAAGATGTTAAAAAAAAATGCTCCACAGATCATTAGCTTCCAACTGGGCCTCTCTTGGTGCCACTTCATCAAAAAGAAATTGTCTAAAGGGGGTACTTTCACCAGAGCCTCAATCTTGTCTGGTTTGTCTGTGGGAATATTTTCTCAGCATAGGTCTGTGTCTCTAAAGACAACCACACAGAACCATCAAAGCAATAACTATGTGGTCACTTGCTGATGACTACTGTTTTAACATTTGTATTTTTAAAACTACAAAACAAAGTATATTTATCGATATACGTAAATAACATCTAATCATTAATATTCTTCCTCTTCACAGGACAACTTGGGGAAGCCTTTATAATTTACACGTGTGTATGTCTCTGTGTGTGTGTGTGTGTGTGTGTATACACACACACACACACACACACACAGACACATACACCCACAACTAGGTAATCACCTGAACTTACAGACATCCAGCTATATGCTCACTATCAAGAAACATTGCTATCACTTAGAGAACTGGTTAAGACTCTCTTTAATCTTCTGAAGATAATAACATTTTAATAACCAATCCTAGTTGAAATTAGAGAATAGGTTAACTATACATTTTTTTTTATTATAGTGACATAGGTTAATGAAATCCAGTATGTTTCAAGTGTACAATTCAACAGTAAGGCATATATATATATATATATTGCATTGTGTTTACCGTAACTGTACATTTTTTAAAATAACATTCAGTAAGACAAAAAGTATAAGAAAGAAGATACAACAGATTTAGCTAAAATGATTTTTTAAATGGCAAAAGAACAGCTGAAAAATCCCTGTATATCTAACAATAATTTAACACTTCTACCAGGCTTGATATAGCTAAATTAAACCCTACCTTTTTGTGTTCATAAAGTCAGAGGTGTTATTTTCATCTACAGGAGCCAGAAATTTTAGAAAATTTGGCACAGAGGAAGAAGAATGAAGTTTTTTCCGCAGGGCATTACGGTAGGAGATGCTGAGAGTTTGGTTGAAAAAAGAGTTTAGGGTAAAGAAATACAAACACACAAAGTATAAAATATAAGCTTTGAGATAAAAGAAACATTTTGGTTCTAACGCTGAGAAAATTAAACCAGGTAAGAAACTAAAAACGGTTTACAAATGAGATTTAACTTCCATTTTTCAGTCAATAAAGTTCCATCATAAATGAATGGAATCAACTACTTAAAAAACATCAGTCCACTCAGTTATGCAAGATGAATAAATTCTAGAGATCTGCCATACACCCTTGGGCCTATAGTTAACGATATTGTATTTTACACTGTAAAAATGTATTAAGAAGGTAGATCTCTTGTTAAGCATTCTTACAAAAAAAAAAAAAACCACAATAATCAAAATTCAGTCCATCTTCCAAAATGACACTTCTTTCAAATTGGAAAAATAATTTTCTAAATGAACGAGGAAGGTTCTGACATGGCACAAACCGCAGTGTACACGGTCAAACTCAGCTTTGTTAACTTGTGTGTGTGTGTGTGTGTGTGTGTGCAAATGCACACGTGCGCACTAAGATGAAGGAATGTGAGAATAAGTTTACAAAAATGGCTTCCCATCAAGACCTGTTTTCATAATAATTTTGAGAAACATTAATAGGAAAATTAAGTCAGTTTGAATGATAGACTGAAAATAAAACCAAAAACAGATGCACGCGCACATGCACACACACACACACACGCAGTGGCCCCAGGTTCTCTCCATTCAGCACAGCCCCTCTGCAGTGAACCACCTGGGAAGACAAACGACACTGAACTTGCCATGCGAGTGTGCTCACCTCTTTGGCACGGCACTCCCACTTTGTTCTCCACTCGAGTTATGTTTTAGGTACTTAAAAAAATTTGGCGAGGAGGCGGAGGGGTTAAGACGAGGTGGAGGAGCAGGAGCTGAAGGCCCTGAGCAACTTTTAGACTTGTCAACAGGTGGATGATTCCCACTAAATAGCAATTAGAGAGAAAGCACGGGCGGGGGGTTAGAGGGAGAGAGGGGGGAATACTGAGGGGGAGCACTGAGGACACAGGAGAGCATGGATACGGTACTGGTGTCTCGCTGTTTCTATAGGAACATCACAGAGGTAGAGGGCTGCTTTTCACTTCGCTTCTGCATCTCAACTCTCATTGGCAAAGGCAGTTTTTAGTAAAGGAAAAAAAGAGTATTGTAGAAGGTCATTCTTGATCATTTCCCACATATCCCTACGCCCTATAGTACCGTTTCCTCTATTCCCTTTTTAGGAACTGACAGGGGAAAAATTTTTAATTAAAACAAAAACAAAGGAAAGCAAAACAAAATCCAGGGTTTTAAAAATATTTCTCTCTTCAAAATGAACAATAACCTGCCCTGAATGTCAGTGGCTCATTTCCTGTACAGAAATGAGAAGAATCCACATGGGTGCGGGAGGGAGGGAGGCGCGGAGGGCGGGGCACTTCCCCCTCCTTCTCAGCACCTATGTCCGGCACCATCCATCAGGAAGCTTGTTATTGGGACAGAAGGGGGACGCACTGTCAGGGACACTGATTTCTCACCACGGATGCCCTGTGTGAAACAGCAGCCTCAGCAAGAGGACTAGGGATCTCTAGACGGGAATGTCTGCATGGTCACTGAAGGTGCCAGAAATCGAGGAGCAGGGGCGGGAGCACAGTGGAGAGGCAGACGAGAAGTACGCACGCGGCACGTACACAGGGCTTCCAGAAACATGACAAGAACGTCATAAGGCCTCGAACTATGCTTGTCTCTAAAATGTCATATTGTTCAATATTAGCTTCTAAAGTCTGTCCTGTTGGAAGGTCAGAGTTACCCAGCCCAATTCCAAAGAGCCAGCCCAACTATTTTCAGTGGCTGGCTGAAAACTCTAGAGAGCTGCCAGGCAACCCTGTGTCTGCGGTTACTAATACTGTGCTGCACACTTAAAAAGTGCATTAAGAGGGTGGCTCTTTTGTTAAGCATTCCTACCAGAATGAAAGAAAAACAAAAAATCAACAAAAGCAGTCTTTTGAAGACTGTCAGTCACATCATTGTTAAGCTCTCACTTCTTCACTGGAAACATTTCAAACACTGCCATGTGAAATCTCCATTATCCGTGTATGACCTGCACTGACACACGTCCTGTGGCTTCTGTTGTCATCAGTCAGGAGAAGGCAGTGACTGTAGGTAGGTGTGGCCACATGTTTACGAGGTGAGGGATTACAAAAGATTTTTAAAGTCGTGTTTAAAGATAACTCCATGACCATTTATGGCCTCTGAGACTCAGGGTCAAATGAATTGCCAAAGAACTCCAGAAGGCACAGAGAGAACTTCTGTTACCATATTCTGTTACCATATCTCTATAACCAGGAAATTCCAAGTGCTCATTAGAGCCCAATTAATAAATTAGTAGATCTTGTTGGAAGAATCTAGAATTCTTACACTCAAGGATTTTAGAAAACATCTATTCCAATTTTGTCATACAGAGATTTAAGCGAGTTTGCCCAGGTCACAACCAGTTCCGGACAGAGCTAGGACCAGAACCCCAAGGCCGCTGCAGCCAGCACAGCGTCCATGCCATCCCCCATGCTCAGCTCGGTATTGACCCCTGCATCTCCGTCCTGCCACGGAAATGGTCCAGATTCTCCGGGGAGCAGACTCACCTGCTGTCCCACCTGCTGCTTTTCCTCAAACCAGAAGCTAAGTTCCAAAGTCGATACTGCCCCTCATGCTGCTTGAGTGATTATTATTATACCTTGTTAAGGGCCATTTCTGCTCAGTTTTACCTGTTTCCTCACAATACATGTTTCCCAAAGGGGGAGGAGGGAGGAATGTGTTCCTGCTTCAAGTTTTATCTTTTTTAAGCCAAGAATAAAACCTGACTCAGTTTCTCTTTGACCATCCCACCAAAAAAAAAAAAAAAAAAAAAAAAAAAAAAAAAAAAAAAAAAAAAAAAAAAAAAAAAAAAAAAAAAAAAAAAAAAACCACCTGCGATGCACATACCTGGTCAGTAACAGGTATGCCCTAGCTATTTGTACAACAAATTTACATTTTAAACAAATCTTACTTTTGTTCATGAGGCGTCTCTGTGCTCACTGAGTGATACCTCATTAGTTTGCGTTGCGAGACCCCTGGAGACCCCTGAGCAGGTTCTGGAGATTCCTGGCATTCTGCAGGGAGGTGACTCAGGGTGTTGGCGCGCCTCCTGAAGCCCTGCTGCAGCGAGAGCGAAGCCGGCTCTTCTGCGGGGTGGCTCTCTGAGTCACTGGACAGGTCGTCCGAGGAGCTGAGGAGCCCGAAGGAGCTCTCGGGGACAAGCAAGGCCTCTTTTTCACACACGGATGGCTCCTGGCAGCAGACAGACAGCAGATCAGACACGTCACATGGAATCACAAATCTCTAATCCCAGGGGCAGGAAAACATTTCAGTATGTGAGCACATCTGATTATAATGCCACCTAGAGGCCACCAAAATATATAAGGAAACAAAAGTTCCTTAAATGTCTGCTTCTCAGAGATAAGATGCTTAGTTTATAGCTTGCTGAAAAGATAGGAAAGTGCCCAAACACAAGCATGAAAGACATAAACTGTAACTGTTCTAAGTAAAACCAAAACAGTTCCCTCTCTCTAGAAAACACAACTCTTTACTACTGGTTATAAGAAGCATAATGAGTGTTGGATAACTTGTCTGCACTGTCTAAACAAATCGAGTTCTTTCTCTCTGCCAAGTGTGTTCATATATGTTATACCTGCATTTTATGGCTCTCTCTGAATCTGATTTACTGTTAAGATTTAACTTGGCAATCTTGAGGGTTAAAAATTATATCCTATATTATCCTCAGATTATGGAAAATCTCTAGGCATTTATTGCCACGATTCAGGGCCAATCAGCTTCTTTCTACACCTCAGTTTCCTCATCTGTAAAAGAGTATAGTGAAAATTTATCTCACTGGGCTTCAGAACTAAGCAAGATAATATAACAGAAAGTACTCTGTTCACTGTAAAATATTATACAAATGTTATTTTTTGTTAGGTACTCAATGAACTTACTGAGTGGGTATGCAAGTATCTGTTGAGAATCATGACAATATTTTAATGTCGCAGGCTCTCAAGATGCATACTTTTCCAAAGGCATGAACTACTACCACTCCTGCAAGCCAATGCTTAACGCTGCACACAGGATTTGGTCGGTGGCCAATATATTTTCTCAAATCAGAAAATATAAAATAAAAGGAAATGTACCAGCTAGTCTCTACTGAAATTGCTAGAAGGTATAAACAAATCAACATGAAAAGAGTAAAAAGGAATGAACATATCTAATGGTAGATTGGAAAATCTAAATTTTATCTGTTTACTTGCTATATAGTTGAGTGCCTTTTAGATCAGGGGGCCCCAGCCTCCAGGCTGCAGACCGGTACTGGTCTATGGCCTATTAGGAACTGCACTGCACAGCAGGAGGTGAGTGGTGGGCCAGTGAGTGAAGCTTCATCTGTATTTGGAGCCACTCCCCAGCACTAGCATCACCGCCTCAGCTCCACTTCAGAACATCAGGCATTAGAGTCTCACAGGAGCACCAGTCCCTGGCACCAAAAAGGTTGGGGACCACTGATGGAAGGACTTGTAGCAGCACCTTCATGCTTCTGTGCTCATGGTTACTCCTCATTTAAAGGGCACCCCCAGAGCTGCATGAGGGAAAAAACAATCAAAACAATTCTTCTTGCATGAAGCTTCATCTGTATTTGGAGCCACTCCCCAGCACTAGCATCACCGCCTCAGCTCCACTTCAGAACATCAGGCATTAGAGTCTCACAGGAGCACCAGTCCCTGGCACCAAAAAGGTTGGGGACCACTGTCGTAGATGACAGGTATTAAGGATTTTAATTTTAAAAAATTAAATTTATGTTTATTGAGGGAAGAGGTTATATACACTTAATTTTGTAGGCATTAGAGAGGAAAAGCTTAATTTCCAGCACATTATGAAATGTTAATTACTCTAAACATAGCTGAATTTTTTTATTCTTCAGGATTGTATAGTTTCGAAGATTCTTTTGGGGATTTAAAAATTTGTCTAAGACAATACATCACAGCAAACAATCTTGATCACACAAACCTGTTCATCTCAATTCTCATTAACAACCCTCCAAATTATGTGAAAGAGCTAACCCTTAGCTTAATCATACACCTGAAAGGGCCACTCAAATGTTCAGCTTCTATTCAAGATGATCGATTTACTGGAAGAGATCCAACTGTATAAAATGTGTACCTTTACAACAGTTTCTCGAACTCAGGATGAAAAAAGATGTATGAGTCCATACAAAGATACACATCCAATACACAAAGGTGATTTCTGAAAAGGTGCCTTTCTCTTAGAATTACCATATAAATTCAAGCTATGTGTATATGCCTAGATTTGTGTTTTGGAGAAAAATTTTAAAACAAGCAGAAGTCTTACTAGAGAAGTCACCTGAGTGATATGACTTATACACAGCATCTTTATGTGCACAGATCTATCTAAAACGCCTTCTTCCCTGTCCACTCACAGATGCAATTCCTATATTTCCTTCAAGATTTAATCCAAAAGCATCATTGCCCCCTCCCCAAGATTTTTCTGGTTCCACTGACCAAAAATAACTCCCCTTTCTCTTGCTCCTGGGACCACTAGGTTACCACCGTCTCCTATTCAAACTCTTAGGGCTCCTACCATGCTCTACTTGATGCTGGTGTTACTTTTGGATCTGTCATCTCTCTCCTTCCAGGCAAGTTCCTATAGGGTAGGGGCTCTGTCCTAGTCATCTGCACACAGCAGATAAACCATAATGTTTCCAAACTTGAAATGAATCATGAGCTAGATGGAAGGCAGAAAGCGCTACATTCCACTAGATTTTTACTTGGAAAATCATATTCAGAAGACTGGTGTCTAGGACCTCACTCCCCCAAGTGGGTCCACAGAGCAGCAGCATCAACCTCACATGGAGCCTGTCAGCATTTCAGGCCTCCCTTCAGGCCTACTGAATCGGAATCTGCATTTTAACCCGAACCTCCATTAAAGAGGCACCTCAGAACTTAAGAAGCACTCATCTAAGGTAGTGTTTCTTAAACTGTAGACTATAACACAGTAGGCAGTGATATCAACTTAGTGGTCTGCCATGAACATTATTTAAATAAAATAGAACAGGAAATACCAGTACATATCACATGTTATTTATAGTTAATACTATAAATTTGTGAAATTTTAGCTTAATTTTGTGTGCGTATTTAAGTGTTTGTGAACCATTTTGCAATGGTAAATGTTTCTTGCTGTTGGTTACTGGTCTACAAACTCTGAAAGCCACACGCCCAGGAGGGATGTGGTATGGAGCTGGCCGCCTCCCAAATTCCCTTTCTCTTGCATCTGAAGCACTCTGGTAGCAGAAGGAAGGCTGAACTCCCCAGCGCAAAACCCCAAATCCACAGTTTGGCGGCTAAAAAGCAGAACTAACCAAGTTTAAATATTCTTCTATGTCTAGAAAGCAAGAAATTAAAACAAGGACAGAGACATAGGTTCATTACCAAAGGGAACCCACTGGCTAGCTCAATGTCACCAAGCTGTGCTTGGTGGCAGATGTGAGGGCTGGAGCCTAGGTGCTCGTTTATAAAAAACAGCAATGTTGAAATCACATCATAGAGCAGCCAGAGAGTGAAATACGTTTCGGGAATTTAAGTTGCATACTTCACAGAATTCACAAACCTACTTTTGAGGTTTTCCCAATTTTAATTATTTTTAATATTGGAAAATATACTTGGGGAAGAAATCCATTGGTGGCTTTTTAAAAGATCTCAGTGGGCTAAAATTTTTATCTCATTTCTTTGTTTATGGAATGGCCATCTGCTTTGTTACGTATAACTACATGACCAGCCCTCCACAGGCACCGCAAAGTCTGGAAGCACCAAAATTTCATGATTGTAAAAATGCGGCCTCTTTTGTCCTTTTAGATAGGTTTTGTAGATAGGAGATGAGCAAGACCAATTTGCTGGTTTCTCCAGGGTGCCATATAAAGAAAAATGTGCTTACTTTGCTGGTGTTACTTAATGTGCTAGACACGGAGCTGTCCAGATCCAAAGTGGTGGAATGTTCCTGAAGGCCTCTGGCTTTATTTCCCTGCATAAAGAAAAAGCAGTTTGAGTCATGATCCCTGAGGTTTCTGCAAAGACATCAGCCAGAAGCATCTTGGCTTATTTAAATAAGCTTAGGAAAAATGCTACTGAGAAATGCTGCCGCGAACATGTACATTAAGACATCAACATTTGTCTTTTTTTTTTTTTTTATAACACATCAACCTCAATGCTTCGAAACACCCTGTGGATTAGTCAGCTGGGAGGTTTAATAGGCAGGAAGAAGAGACAATTCCTCTATGAAGAAAAGCAAGTACTGAGGTAAGTGTGCCCAACACCTCTTTCCCAAGTCTTAAGTCATTTTAACCTGCCAGTCGTATGACACTCAAACAATATTCTCTCCATTTGGGAGCTCGCGAAGGCAGGCACCCCCAACCCTGGTTTTATAAATGGAATGTTTGTAATTATCTCTAAAGATGCTGCAAGATTCTCAGAAACATCTTCAAACAAAATAAAATTTAACTAAAAAAATACAGCATGTGTTTTAAATGGAGCGTGTCAGGAAATCAAAAAGAACTATAAGAAGATATTGCAAGGTCTAGAAAGGCATGCAACTTTGATTTCAAGAGTATCTATACTCACTGGGGTTGGGGGTGTAATTTCTTAAAGAACTCCCAGATTGGTGCATTTGTATGCTTTGTTATTCCTATAGAGCTTCAGTCTGTAAACTTTTCCATAAGGGGCCAGAAAACAAATCTCTCATGCTTTGTAGGCCATATGGTGTCTGTGGCAACTACTCAACTCTGCACAAAAGCAGCCTCAGACAACAGGTAAATGAATGGATGTGGCTGTGTTTCAGTAAAGCTTTACAAAAATAGAAGGTGGGTGGTATTTGGCCTGAGGGCTATAGTTTACTGGCCCTACTACAGAGAGTTCCAGGGACAAAACAAGGGCAGCTGACAGTAACTGGATTTTTAAGTTGTACCTAGTGATGCTAGGGAACCGAACTCACACCTGAGTGTATCTAATCTGTGCCTTAATAAAAAACCAGCCAATAAACAACAACAACAAAAGGGATATCGTATAATACAAAAGAGTAGAGAATTTTTTTTGACCCAGGCCAAGTTAAAAATGGAATTTAAAGTGCAGATAACATCGTTCTAATGCTGAGAAGACATTACAAAAGATTTCACCCTTCTATACTTTATGATGAGCACTGATGGGAATAAAAGCAAACAGAATCTCTTACAAAGTTATTTAACTTAAATCAGGAGAAATTATGTTACTCACCCGGGACAAAATACTTTCTAAAGACTCTGTCAAAGATCTTTTAGCTTTGTTTTTTAGCATATCTAGCCTAAACCGAGTGGCACTAGATGGTAATTCATTTCCAATATTCTCCGCTGCAATCTGTGATGTCTAAAAAGTAAAAAAATGAAAAGTCAAGTCATTTACAATGTCCTTCGTTTCTTCTTCTTCTTCTTTTTTTTTTTTTTTCAAGGAATGGAAAAATCTCTAGAATGTACCATTTTTATCCCAGGCCACTATTCTATATGTGACCTAAACTGACCTGCTCTTCAGGGACATGGCTGCAAGTACAGGAAATAATTTTGCCTCAAAGAGTTGCTTTGTGTACTCCAAATGAAATAAAGAAATGTGCTTGGAAACCAATTAGTTAACAAAGCAGTTTTGAGTAGGGCTCTGCAGTCAGATCAGAAATCCATCATTCACTAACTGATCTTATACAAGTTACTTTCTCTGGACTGCAATTTCCTCTTCTGTAAATTGAGCCTAATCTCAAGATCTAATCATAACACCGTATTGTGAGATTAAAACAGGTAAAGCCAGTAAAGCAGTGAGCACAGCTTCTGGTACAAAGGTAGCTATGATTAGTTTTTCAAAGTAAAGTAACAACTTACCTTTGGGGCATTTCATAGAGTTAAACAAAATTAACTTATCAACTGAAAAATCCATTCTCTCTGCCACTACTAATCCCTTCATTCTTTTC